AGGGAAGGTTTTTTTTTTTTTTTTTCTGTGTGTGTGTGTGGGTCCAGAGGACAGAAAAGGGCAGTCCGGTGCACTAAGCTCCCGCTATGCGTGGGGTGCGGGGAAGGGCCGGACCACAAGGGTCTATCGTACGCAGTCTTACCCTGCATTTCAGCAAGAGGACAAAACTACTTATATTAAGTTAAACATTGTATAGTACAAGGAGTTAAAGATAAGGTAGGTGTTAACCTAAGGGAGCGACCTCGTGATGGGTCTTAACAAAAAAATTGATGGTAAAGTAGATGGTACAACTTGTCTAACAAAAAGCGTTCCTAGATGGTAAAGTAGATGTTCTATGATATATCTCCTACTTTTGTAATATCTCTTTCAAAAATAATTATTTAGGTACATGTATTCTATACAAATCGAGTTATGTACTACTAAACTTTACTAATAATAGTACTAGTTTTTTTGACAAAAAGGGAACTAAAAACAACTGAGAATTATATTATTTGCCTTTCAAAGTACAATAAGTAGTTTTCACTTGAGTAAAAGTAATACTACTTGAGATGCATTTCAATATTAACTATTTAATATTTGATCAACTTAAAAAAATCTAAATGTTGTGGGTGTTCTAGCTTTTTCAATGAAATGATTTTTCATCATCAGTTATAATTTGAATAATAGAAAATGACTCCTAATTATCTCTAATATTTTATTTATCGATCTCATGTGTTATGATTTATTTATCTTATGTGGAAATGGATATAACTAAAGGTACCATTTTTGGATATAACTAAAGGTACCATTTTTGAATAGCAATCAGATCGATCTCCAATCTAACTTTACGATTACCAAATTCAAGTTGAAAGTTATGAGTAGTTTATAAGGGGATTCGCATTATTTTTACTTTCTTTCTGTTAAAAATGAGCTTCATTTTCAACTTTTAAATAGTTCTTTCGAGGACATCCGATAAAATTGGTTACATATAGAAAAAATAAATTATCTAATCAACAACAACAAAAAATCCAGTGAAATCTCATAAATGGGATCTGGGGAGAGGTTTTCTATTTGAATCTTTCATATGTTATGTTCATTTTGATTTCATCAAGTGCGTCTCGACGAATTCAATGTTTAGAAGTAAGGATATTCATGAATGAAGGTCTTGTCTAATTAATTTTCTCACTAAGAAAACGCATGTGGCCTAAACTTAATTACTATTATTTATTACACAAGTTTATAAACAAGAACTTACAAAAACATAATAATTATTATACAAGTCTATGAGCAAGCAGAACCTATAAAGTATAATTATTTCATAAGTCTATAAATTACGTTTCCTAGATTTGCTTATTCATAGATTTGTATAATAATTACGTTTAAGCCACGTGGGTACTCCAATAATAACAAATTGGTAGTTTTTCCGGTGTTTGTCAATTAAATACTATGGACAAATATCTTAGGAACTATTTTTAAAAGAAAAACACTGGAATGTACTTGTACTAATTAGCAGTAGACTACTTATTTGCGAGCCAGGATAACGCACCACAACCACCTTTCGTACTGGTATCTTTTTTAACCAAAAAACAAAAAAAAACTAAGTGGTCAAGACTTTCGATTATTTTTACATTGATTGGTTTTCGTTTTTTCTCCACATCGATTCAACTTTCTAGAGCTATTATTTCTTTTCATTCATTAATTTAATTGGAAAAGATTTTTCCTTTCAAAAATTATTTTAATTATCTGGTAAAATAGAGATTACAATTGAAAAGAATCCCTTTTTCCCCAAGAAGAATATAATTAACTGGTACAAAATTGAAAATTAGAAAATGATAATGATATATTGCGAAGATTTTAGCTACAAGGGCAATTTTGTACATCCATTTTCTAGAGGAGAACCTCTGGAAAGTTCGGTATTTTCAGAATTCTAACTTCTATATTTTTAGAGAGCTTCCATGTTTTCCTCCTCTAGCTCTTGCCACTTCAACTTTGAAGGTAAGTTATAGCTCTCAATCGGAAGCAAAAATGGCTGACGAGGATTATGATATGGACGGAGGGTTCGTACATTTTATTTTTTTCATATTGAATTTTTTACGTGTTTTATGTGTTAGTAATACTTTTTTTTTTTTTTTAG